ATTCATCCACGGACTCACTCACATCACTCAGAATCATTCATCCCATCTTCATCTATTCATCACTCAGTCATTCATCCACGGACTCACTCAATCATTCATTCACCCATTCCATCCATCCATTCATCTATTCATTCATAGATTCATTCATCCATCCATCATCGATTCATTCATCTACTCATTCGCCGACTCATTCACCCAAGGACTCAATCATTCATTCACCCATCCATCCATTCATTTATTCATTCATCGATTCATTCACCCATTCATCACTCATTCACTCATTCATTCACCCACGACTCACTCAATATTCATTCACCCATCCATCCATTCATCTATTCATTCATCGATTCATTCATCTACTCATTCGCCGACTCATTCATCTACGGACTCAATCATTCATTCACCCATCCATCCATCTATTCATTTATCTATTCATTCACCCATTCATCTACTCATTCACCCATTCATCTACTCATTCACTCACTCATTCACCCTTCATCTACTCATTCACTCACTCATTCACCCATTCATCTACTCATTCACTCACTCATTCACCCATTCATCTACTCATTCACTCACTCATTCACCCATCTCTACTCATTCACTCACTCATTCACCCATTCATCTACTCATTCACTCACTCATTCACCCATTCATCTACTCATTCACTCACTCATTCACCCATTCATCTACTCATTCACTCACTCATTCACACCATTCATCTACTCATTCACTCACTCATTCCCCTTCATCTACTCATTCACATCATCTCTCATTCACTCACTCATTCATCTACTCATTCACTCACTCATTCACCCATTCATCTACTCATTCACTCACCTCATTCACCCATTCATCTACTCATTCACTCACTCATTCACCCATTCATCTACTCATTCACTCACTCATTCACCCATTCATCTACTCATTCACTCACTCATTCACCCATTCAGTGCAGTGCGGTAATTTACCTCCATTCACCAACAGCTGGAGGAAGGGGGCGGGGCACCTCCACTGACGTCATCAGCCCCGCGGGGGGCGGGGCTCCCACCACCCCGATGACGCACGCGGGATTGACGTCGAAAGACGTCACGGTTTCCGGTCGCCCCGCGTGACGTAATCCACCCATATAAGGAGCGCTCCTGGTGACGTCGCATTTCCGGTGGCCCCCTCCCGCCCCCCACGCTCGCACGTGGCTGGGGCGATGACGCAACATGCCCATATAAGGTTCGCCTCCAGCAGTGACGTCACACAATCCACATTGCGGGGGCGGGGTCCCCTCTGGCCCCCACCTCCCCTTGCGATTCGTCGGAGGGTGGCTGAGCGTGATTACGTCACGCGCCTTATATGGGTAGGCCCCGCCCCCCCTCCCGCTGACTGCGCGTTGACGTCACGCGGTCGGCGTTGGTGACGTTCATCTTCAACTGCCCGGTTTCTCCCGTGCGTGATGACGTCACTTGCCGACGCGATGACGTAGATGGGGGGAGCGAGGCGGCGCGGCTGAAATTGGCGCGAAAATTAGACGTACGAAAAGAAAATGGCCGCTTATAGTTTTGTTATTTTTCTTTTTAAATTTCTTTATTTTAAAAGCTTAAAATTAATTAATTTCTTCGTTTCTTGGCAAATGTGGTCGCCTTTTTCCACCAGGTTTCTCCTCAGAATTGTGTTGCGACGCCCACCTGCCAACGACATTTAAGGTAAACATTATATTCGTAAGGGTTCATGGGCAATGTTATGGTGAGGTAAAACGTAAGGGTTACTATACGGAGCTTCTTTTAGAAGAGTAGGCCAAGTACCCCTTCCACCCCCTCTGCTATAGCTGCCTCTAGTTGTGGGCTCAGTGTTAAAATCGCTGAGGCTCACAGAGCCAGACTAAGGCTCCCACAGGGTTCAGTGTTAGAGGCTCACAGAGCCAGACTAAGGCTCCCATAGGGTTCAGTGTTAGAGGCTCACAGAGCCAGACTAAGGCTCCCATAGGGTTCAGTGTTAATCACTGAGGCTCACAGAGCCAGACTGAGGCTCACTCCCCATAGGGTTCAGTGTTGATCACTGAGGCTCACAGAGCCAGACTAAGGCTCCCACAGGGTTCAGTGTTAATCTCTGAGGCTCACAGAGCCAGACTAAGGCTCCCACAGGGTTCAGTGTTAATCACCGAGGCTCACAGAGCCAGACTAAGGCTCCCACAGGGTTCAGTGTTAATCACCGAGGCTCACAGAGCCAGACTAAGGCTCCCACAGGGTTCAGTGTTAATCACTGAGGCTCACAGAGCCAGACTAAGGCTCCCACAGGGTTCAGTGTTAATCACTGAGGCTCACAGAGCCAGACTAAGGCTCCCACAGGGTTCAGTGTTAATCACTGAGGCTCACAGAGCCAGACTAGGGCTCCCACAGGGTTCAGTGTTAATCACCGAGGCTCACAGAGCCAGACTAAGGCTCCCATAGGGTTCAGTGTTAATCACTGAGGCTCACAGAGCCAGACTGAGGCTCACTCCCCATAGGGTTCAGTGTTGATCACTGAGGCTCACAGAGCCAGACTAAGGCTCCCACAGGGTTCAGTGTTAATCACTGAGGCTCACAGAGCCAGACTAAGGCTCCCACAGGGTTCAGTGTTAATCTCTGAGGCTCACAGAGCCAGACTAAGGCTCCCACAGGGTTCAGTGTTAATCACCGAGGCTCACAGAGCCAGACTAAGGCTCCCACAGGGTTCAGTGTTAATCACCGAGGCTCACAGAGCCAGACTAAGGCTCCCACAGGGTTCAGTGTTAATCACTGAGGCTCACAGAGCCAGACTAAGGCTCCCACAGGGTTCAGTGTTAATCACTGAGGCTCACAGAGCCAGACTAAGGCTCCCACAGGGTTCAGTGTTAATCACTGAGGCTCACAGAGCCAGACTAAGGCTCCCACAGGGTTCAGTGTTAATCACCGAGGCTCACAGAGCCAGACTAAGGCTCCCACAGGGTTCAGTGTTAATCACTGAGGCTCACAGAGCCAGACTAAGGCTCCCTCTCCCATAGGGTTCAGTGTTAATCACTGAGGCTCACAGAGCCAGACTGAGGCTCCCTCTCCCATAGGGTTCAGTGTTAATCACTGAGGCTCACAGAGCCAGACTGAGGCTCCCTCTCCCATAGGGTTCAGTGTTAATCACCGAGGCTCATAGAGCCAGACTAAGGCTCCCTATCCCATAGGGTTCAGTGTTAATCACTGAGGCTCACAGAGCCAGACTAAGGCTCCCACAGGGTTCAGTGTTGATCACTGAGGCTCACAGAGCCAGACTAAGGCTCCCATAGGGTTCAGTGTTAATCACTGAGGCTCACAGAGCCAGACTGAGGCTCCCTCCCATAGGGTTCAGTGTTAATCACTGAGGCTCACAGAGCCAGACTGAGGCTCCCATAGGGTTCAGTGTTAATCACTGAGGCTCACAGAGCCAGACTGAGGCTCCCATAGGGTTCAGTGTTAATCACTGAGGCTCACAGAGCCAGACTAAGGCTCCCTCCCATAGGGTTCAGTGTTAAAATCACTGAGGCTCACAGAGCCAGACTAAGGCTCCCTCCCATAGGGTTCAGTGTTAATCACCGAGGCTCAGAGCCAGACTAAGGCTCCCTCCCATAGGGTTCAGTGTTAATCACTGAGGCTCACAGAGCCAGACTAAGGCTCACTCCCATAGGGTTCAGTGTTAATCACTGAGGCTCACAGAGCCAGACTGAGGCTCCCATAGGGTTCAGTGTTAATCACTGAGGCTCACAGAGCCAGACTGAGGCTCCCTCCCATAGGGTTCAGTGTTAATCACTGAGGCTCACAGAGCCAGACTAAGGCTCCCTCTCACATAGGGTTCAGTGTTAATCACTGAGGCTCACAGAGCCAGACTAAGGCTCACTCCCATAGGGTTCAGTGTTAATCACTGAGGCTCACAGAGCCAGACTGAGGCTCCCTCCCATAGGGTTCAGTGTTAATCACCGAGGCTCACAGAGCCAGACTAAGGCTCCCTCCCATAGGGTTCAGTGTTAATCACTGAGGCTCACAGAGCCAGACTGAGGCTCCCATAGGGTTCAGTGTTAATCACTGAGGCTCACAGAGCCAGACTAAGGTTCCCTTAGGGTTCAGTGTTAATCACTGAGGCTCACAGAGCCAGACTAAGGCTTCCTATCCCATAGGGTTCAATGTTAATCGCTGAGGCTCACAGAGCCAGACTAAGGCTCCCTCCCATAGGGTTCAGTGTTAATCACTGAGGCTCACAGAGCCAGACTGAGGCTCCCTCCCCCATAGGGTTCAGTGTTAAAATCACTGAGGCTCACAGAGCCAGACTGAGGCTCCCATAGGGTTCAGTGTTAATCACTGAGGCTCACAGAGCCAGACTAAGGCTCCCATAGGGATCAGTGTTAAAATCACTGAGGCTCACAGAGCCAGACTAAGGCTCCCTCCCCCATAGGGTTCGGTGTTAATCACTGAGGCTCACAGAGCCAGACTAAGGCTCCTATAGGGTTCAGTGTTAAAATCACTGAGGCTCACAGAGCCAGACTAAGGCTCCTATAGGGTTCAGTGTTAAAATCACTGAGGCTCACAGAGCCAGACTAAGGCTCCCTCCCCCACAGGGTTCAGTGTTAAAATCACTGAGGCTCACAGAGCCAGACTAAGGCACGAGTAATGGGAGGTCACGTGGCGACGTCATGGAATTCTGGAGCGCGTGACACTCACAACACAGAGAGAGAGAGAGATAAAGGTACAGCCAAAGCTCCCCCGTGTAGCCTCCAGCAGGCTATCGGGGGCAAGTGACTGTGAGTTGTAGAGTGGGTGTGAATTTGAGGCGAGGTCGACCTGATTGATGTGAATTCTAGTGATGTTCTAGAAGGGATGGAGAGCTGAGTGATGTGAATTCTAGCGGTGTTCTAGAAGGGATGGAGAGCTGAGTGATGTGAATTATAGCGATGTTCTGGAAGGGATGGAGAGCTGAGTGATGTGAATTCTAGTGGTGTTCTGGAAGGGATAGAGAGCTGAGTGATGTGAATTCTAGCGGTGTTCTAGAAGGGATGGAGAGCTGAGTGATGTGAATTCTAGTGGTGTTCTAGAAGGGATGGAGAGCTGAGTGATGTGAATTCTAGTGATGTTCTAGAAGGGATAGAGAGCTGAGTGATGTGAATTATAGTGATGTTCTGGAAGGGATGGAGAGCTGAGTGATGTGAATTCTAGTGATGTTCTAGAAGGGATTGAGAGCTGAGTGATGTGAATTCTAGTGGTGTTCTGGAAGGGATGGAGAGCTGAGTGATGTGAATTCTAGCGGTGTTCTAGAAGGGATGGAGAGCTGAGTGATGTGAATTCTAGCGGTGTTCTAGAAGGGATGGAGAGCTGAGTGATGTGAATTCTAGTGGTGTTCTAGAAGGGATGGAGAGCTGAGTGATGTGAATTATAGCGATGTTCTAGAAGGGATGGAGAGCTGAGTGATGTGAATTCTAGTGGTGTTCTAGAAGGGACAGAGAGCTGAGTGATGTGAATTCTAGTGATGTTCTAGAAGGGATTGAGAGCTGAGTGATGTGAATTATAGCGATGTTCTAGAAGGGATGGAGAGCTGAGTGATGTGAATTCTAGTGGTGTTCTAGAAGGGATGGAGAGCTGAGTGATGTGAATTCTAGTGATGTTCTGGAAGGGATGGAGAGCTGAGTGATGTGAATTCTAGCGGTGTTCTAGAAGGGATGGAGAGCTGAGTGATGTGAATTCTAGTGATGTTCTGGAAGGGATGGAGAGCTGAGTGATGTGAATTCTAGCGGTGTTCTAGAAGGGATAGAGAGCTGAGTGATGTGAATTCTAGTGATGTTCTAGAAGGGATTGAGAGCTGAGTGATGTGAATTATAGCGATGTTCTAGAAGGGATGGAGAGCTGAGTGATGTGAATTCTAGTGATGTTCTAGAAAGGATAGAGAGCTGAGTGATGTGAATTCTAGTGGTGTTCTAGAAGGGACAGAGAGCTGAGTGATGTGAATTCTAGTGATGTTCTAGAAGGGATTGAGAGCTGAGTGATGTGAATTATAGCGATGTTCTAGAAGGGATGGAGAGCTGAGTGATGTGAATTCTAGTGGTGTTCTAGAAGGGACAGAGAGCTGAGTGATGTGAATTATAGTGATGTTCTAGAAGGGATAGAGAGCTGAGTGATGTGAATTCTAGCGGTGTTCTGGAAGGGATGGAGAGCTGAGTGATGTGAATTATAGTGATGTTCTAGAAGGGATGGAGAGCTGAGTGATGTGAATTCTAGTGATGTTCTAGAAGGGATAGAGAGCTGAGTGATGTGAATTCTAGTGATCTTCTAGAAGGGATGGAGAGCTGAGTGATATGAATTCTAGCGATGTTTTAGAAGAGATATAGAGCTGAGTGATGTGAATTCTAGTGATGTTCTAGAAGGGATAGAGAGCTGAGTGATGTGAATTCTAGCGGTGTTCTAGAAGGGATGGAGAGCTGAGTTATGTGAATTCTAGTGATGTTCTAGAAGGGACAGAGAGCTGAGTGATGTGAATTATAGCGATGTTTTAGAAGGGATAGAGAGCTGAGTGATGTGAATTCTAGCGGTGTTCTAGAAGGGATGGAGAGCTGAGTGATGTGAATTCTAGTGGTGTTCTAGAAGGGATGGAGAGCTGAGTGATGTGAATTCTAGCGGTGTTCTAGAAGGGATGGAGAGCTGAGTGATGTGAATTCTAG